TGTTTCACCCATAAAAACAGAATGTTACATTATCTACTGATCCTTCAAGAAAACTTTTCTGCCAATGCAAGCAAATCCCAAAATGGCTCAAGGTCTAAATTGTTTGTATCAAGGACTAGGGGATTGATTAATTGAGCCTCCTAACCAAATCTCATCCCTGAGTTAAAAAGTGAGAAGTCAACTGATGTCTCAAACAATCACTGTTACTTAACAAATTGCTCTCCAGAGTGGTGACAATCAGTCCATTTGTTAAAATAGATTTTACCTGCCATACTGCTTCTGTTTAATAAAACAGCAACCAGCCCAACATGTAATAATTATATGATTACTCAGAACAGCCTCATTTTATTTATTTGGGGCCACACCCAGCAGTGCTCAGGGCTTGCTCCTGGTTCTGCACTCAGGTCAGTCCTGGCAGGTTTTGGGGGTCAATATGGGACGCCAGCTCAGATGTGGCAAAGCAAGTGCCCTACCCACTGTAGTATTGCTCTGTTTCAAGAGCAGCCTCATTAAAAAAAAAAGATAAATATCCATTTAATCAGAAATGAGACGAAAAACTCATACAGTGGAATAAAAAAGAAAGGAAAATGTAGGCAGGGAGCAGGTAGTTAATTAAAAATAAAATTAAAAAGTGAGTGATTAAACATGAAAAGACACAAAATACCCTTAAATGCACACTGCAAAATGAAAAAAGTTTACCTGAAAAGATTATAGTCTTGGGGCTGGAGTGATAGCACAGCAGGTAGGGCGTTTGCCTTGCACGCAGCTGGCCCGGGCTCAATTTTCAGCATCCTATATGGTCCCCCAAGCACCACCAGGAGTAATTCCTGAGTGCATGCGCCAGGAGTAACCTCTGTGCATCGCTGGGTATGACCCAAAAAGCTCCCCCCTCCAAAAAAAAAAAAAAGATTACAGTCTCTATTACATTCTGCAAAAATTAGGAGAAAGCAAAAATATGGAGGCAGTAAAGGGATCAGTGGTTGCAAGGGGTGATGGCGGGGTGAAGAGGCAGTGCACCAAGGGTTACTGGGGCAGTGAATGCTCTGCATGAGGATGGCTGCATGTCGTACAATTGTCCAAACTCCAAGAATATACACCAAGAGTGAACCCTAATGCAAACTATGGACTTCGAGTATTAATAATATTTTGATAGCGGGTCACTAATTTTAAAGACTGTACCACGGTGGAGAATGTTCATAATGACAGAAGAAAAAAAGAAGACAAAATGTTCATAATGGGGAAGTTCTGCGTGGGGGTTCTATAATAGCTCTATCTCCCCATTGTGCTATGAACTTCAAACTGTTCCAGAAACATTATGCATTATGCAACAAAACAAAAAAACATCACACCTTCATGTAACTTATACTCTAGGGTAGCATTTCCTTTTCTTTTCTTCCCCTCCCATCCCTGTACTGCTGGCAGGGTGTCACACTAAGCTGGGGTGCTCTCTCTGTGCTGGACGCCGAGAATCGCAAACAGCAGGGACAGCGGAGTTATGTTCAGCATGTGGGCTGATGCCGTGATCAGACCCACGTCTCCCTCTTGCAAGGCAAGAGCTTCACTCCAGAGCTATCCCCAGGCCTCTCTACACTAGATTATAAGAATATAAGCCAAAAAAGATCACATGCTGTTTGACTTTGGATGGTTTCTCCCTTTCTCTGTTTTCTGTAATAAATTCCACTTACGGGGCATTCGACTCCAGAATCACCTCCATCCAATGGGGGTGTGTGGTTCCCTTCTTTTCACTTCATGGAACCTTCCTCTCCTACAAGCCTATTTTCTTTCCCCCTTTTAATAAAATTTATCCATTTCACTAAGATAAATAAAATTCCTTTTACAGTTACAAGGACAAACATCTATGAATTTCTAAAACATAATAACTTACCATATGTAGGACATATTTTTCTGCTTCCTGAGGTCCGGATAACTGCACACGACTCGCCATATCTTGTAATGATAGTGTTAAAAAGGTCTGAAATTTAGAGGCAGAATTAATCACAGCTAGAAACAACTAAGGAAGTTTTATTTTACTTGTACAGAGTTTGTAAAGGCAACTTGAAATAGATAAACCGAGTGGTTTTGGACATCAGTACTCTCTAGGCAGGAAATAACTCAGGTGTAAGATTATTCAGTTTTGCTGCTTATGATAGCAAAATAATTTGGGAACATCTCAATATCCACTAAGAGAGGGACACTGAATACTGAAAAACTGTTTAATAGGATTACTTTGCAGCTATAAAAAAGATGGAAGGGTTGGGAACCAGGCTGGCTGGGGAGACAACTCAAAAGGCTAAAAGCATGCTCTGCAGGCAAGGAGGCCCGGGTACAATCCTGATACCACACGGTCTCTGGAGCATGGTCAAGAGCAACCCCTGAGCAATGAAGGAGCCAGGTGTAGCCTCTGAGCAACAAGAGGTGTGGAGTGCATGTTTTGCATGCATGAAGCTCCAGGTTTGATTCCTGGCACCAAAAAAAATTAAAATGATTGGGGGCTGGAGAGTTACTACATCAGGTAGGGCACTTGCCTTGTACACAGCTGACCCGGGTTCAATGCCAGGACACCTATCTGGTTCCCCTGAGCCCCGCTAAGGGATCCCTGAGCAGAGTCAAGAGTAAGCCCTGTGCAAGGTCTGGTGTGGTCCCAGAACAGAAAAAAATTATCTAAAAGTCAGAATATTCTCAAGGGGGTGCGGGAAGTGGTGGAGGGAGAAATGTGAGGGCACTCTTCATGAGCTGAAAAGAAATCCAAGATATATACATGACTAAATACAAAAAAGGAGCATGTAAGGGCCAGAGATGCACCTGAGTGGAAGACCTGCTTCACATGGATGAGGCACGGGGTTAAATTCCTTAGCATCAAGAAAAATAAAAAAAGCAAAGTTGTGTTTATAAATCTTGAGAGAGGAAATGAGCACATGAGGATGATAATATCAGCTTAAAAGGAAAGAATATTTATCTGTGTGTGACAGCTCATGTGCAAATGTATGTGTGATTACACCCCCAAAACTGTTAATGCCAGGTTTACCGGGTTTGTCTCTTTGAAAAGAAAAAAGGCTAGTTGTCATACTTTTGTATCTTTTGAAATTTAAATTTTAAATGCTTTAACCACTAAAAAAATAAAAAAATTTAAAAAATTGAGAATGTCACTCTATCACATGCATCCTTAAAAATTTAGTCTAACATGTGTAAATAAGTGGGAGTTGGAAGGAAACCAGAATGGGTCACTACTCTGCTTGAGACTTGAACATGGCCCTTTCTAGGGACAAATTAAAAGAGCTCTCTTTTATTTTTTTGGGGGTCACACCTGGTGATGGTTGGGTTACTCCTGGCTCTGCATTCAGGAATCACTCCTGGCAGTGCTAGGGGACCATATGGGATGCCGGGGATCGAACCTGGGTTAGCTGTGTGCAAGGCAAATGCCTTATATACTATCGCTCCAGCCAACCCACCCCACCCTCTCTCTATATATACATATATAATGGCAGCAGGCAGAATTTACAATAAAGGCATTTTTAGAGTTAGTTATGTTAAAATCTCAATCTTGAAAATTCTTGATAAGACAATGTCCAAAAATATAAAGAACAGTCCAGAGAGTAGCATCTGAGAAAATAAAACTGTACTTTCAAAAATTATATTACATAGCTAATTACAAATAAGGACTCAAAAAAGAACATTTCTAAGTATACACAACCACTTTCTCTATTTAACAGTAAATAAAGTTCCTGACACTGGAGTGATAGTACACTCCAGTCCTCAGTGCAGAGCCAGGAGTAACCCCTGAGCATTGCCTTGTGTGGCCCAAAACCGAAACCAAAAACACACTTCTACCTCAATGCCCACTAATAATAAAGAGCTGACTAAGGGGCTACAGAGATGGGTAGGGTGCCTGTCTTGCATGCGACTGGCCTGGATTCAATCCCTGGCACCCCACATGGTCCCCCAATTGCCACCAGGAGTGATTCCTAAATGCAGACTGAGAAGCCCTGTGGACCGCCCCTAAACCATATAGAATGAAACAAAACCAAATAGAATAAAACCGAAAAATTTCAAACATATATCGCCTTTTGTCCTTGTTAACATTAAAAAAATTTTAACTGAATCACCGTGAGATACATATTTACAAAGTTGTTCATGATTGGGTTTCAGTCATAAGATGTTCCAACACTCATCCCTTCACTAGTGTACATTTCCTGCCACCAGTGTTCCTAGTTTCCCTCCCACCTGCACACTTGCTCAGCGCCCCCATCCCCATCTGTCTGCTTCTATGGCAGATCTCTCTTCTCTCCCCACGTCACCTCTCCTCTCCTCCCTCCCCCCCCTTTCCCTCCTTCCTGTTAAGCACTGTGGTTTGCAGTACTGCTACTGAAAGGGTATCATGTGTATCCCTTTACCCCCTTTCAGCACTCAGTTCTTATCCAAAGTGATCACTTCCAACTACCATTGTCATGGTGATCCCTTCTTGGTCTTAACTCCATTCCCCACCCCACCCTCCAACACACACACACACACACACACACACACACACACACACACACACACACTTGTGGCAAGCTTCCTTGTTGACATTTTGATTCTTGGGGGCTACACCCAGCAGTGCTCGGGACTTATTCCTGGCTCTGCACTCTGCACTCATTTGCAGTGCCAGGGACTCAACCTGGGTTGGCTGCATGCATGGCAACCTGCTATACGGCCTCATCCCTCCACCCGCAATCCCTCTACTTCAGCGTTGTTCTTGGTTGGTTTCCTTTTACTAGCAGAGCATCTTTCCAAACTCATGTAGCATTTCATTTTTTCCTAGCTTTTGAGCACTATTTGAACACTTGATAATAAGGATATTTAAAAACTTTAGTAGGTTATTTTCATTCTGAAAGTAAAAATGATACACTTGGTTTATCTTCTACAGCTTGACTATTTCAAAGCTCATACACCCTGGTCTATACAATAATGTCCAGAGTAGTGCTCTGCCCAAACAAGAAGTGTAAGCAGAGACGAGCCATCCTGTGCAAACTCTATCACTAGCTCTGTATGATGTTGCAAAAGTGAGGGGAACCTGTTTGGCTAAAATAATTACAGTGATACCAATGTATTAACTTTAAACGCTAATGAGAGTGTCCATTCTATTCAACTACAGAGAGAGGGAGGGAGGGAGGAAGGGAGAGAGAGAGAGAGAGAGAGAGAGAGAGAGAGAGAGAGAGAGAGAGAGGAGTTCTTCCTGAGAGGTTCCATGGCCAATTACAACTGACATATCTGCACCATTATTATTGCTTATCTGCTTGTGGAGTTTCCCCCCCTCTTGTAAGCTACCTTTCTCTGGCTTCCCAAATGCAGCCATATCTCTTGCCTCTTCTGTGCCTACTCTAGCCCTGAAAAGATCAAAAGGTACAAATGAAACCCTTTCTAAGACATCAGTTGCAAGAATTCTTTTAGTATAGAAACTCTGAGGGCTGAAGCAAGAGTACAATGGGTAGGGGATTTGCCTTGCATGAGACCGACCTGGGTTCAACCCCCAGCATCCCATCCCATCACTGCATTCTTGAATGCAGACCCAGGAGTAAGCCAAACTGCGATGTGCTTTATCCCTGTTCCTGCTTCTTAGCACCAAGAAAGAGAAGGAACCGAGAGAAACAGATGCTCAGGGCAGCTGGAAGACACTGCCTGCAGGCAGCACCTTCCTTACCTTTGTTAACCTTTGAATATTCTTCTTATACAGAGATGACAAGCACTGCTTCACCAGTCCCATGTTGTTATCACGAGTAAACGTTTCACTGTGCTTGTTGACCAGGTTGCGGAGTTCTGAGGGATTATTAGTTGAATAAACTTGTGCTAACTCATGGTATGCATTGCTAAGAGGCTAAAGTTTTGAAGGTGGGGAAAAATCATATTAAACAATTAGAGGAATAACAATGAGGGGGAAAAAACATAGTGTATTTTGAGCAAGTGTATATCTAATACTCTATACTGCCATCTAATAAATTTTAATTTACTCAAAGCAAATTCTAATTTCTAAGACCAAGAAGAGAAATTGATTGAATTACTTATTATCAATAAGCCCAGTTTGTCATACAGAGGAAATAACTACACAACAGGTCAATGTACACTGTATTAGAAAAGGCATGCATTTTCTTTATCACTGTTTTGTTTCTGAGAATTTTAGGAAAGCAAAATATCCATCGTTCTCATACATCTTTCCCCTTCCCTTCAGGCTATTTGTCTCTCTCTCACAAGCATATACACACCTGCTACTTTTGCTAGTATGAGTAAGAGCAAGAGAATTAACAGCAGTCGAGAGCCTAATTAGAACTTGAGCTGCTTTAGGCATTTAAGACACATTATCCTCTATTCTAAATATTAAGAAATTGGGAGGTCCAAGAGACTAGAGATCACATGAGGCACACATGAAGAGATGAGATTCAAACCCATATTCTAAATCGCTGTTCTTTGCACTATGTTCAGTATTTTTATAGCCCCCCAATTCTTGTGAATGAAGCTGTGAAAACCTCCCTCTGTGAGAGCCCTTTTCTGAGAGGCCAGCTCACTGATAACTGGAGTACACATGGGAGTTTCCCAAAATAAGAATCACAACCCTAAGCCTATGCTGCCCACCGCTCTTCCTAAGTGCTACCCCAACCCCAATCACCCTCTCCTTCCTTCCTGCCCTATCCCAGCAAGATAGGCAGCCCAGAGCCTTGAAAACCACAATAGGGTTCTGAGGAGAATATTATACTTTATGATCATTTTTTATAATAATAATTTCCTCATGGACTTTTGAAAGTCACGTGAGATAGCAGTTTTATCTTAAAAACTCACCTTAATGAATCTACCCACAATTTGAGATGTGTATTTCGGTAGCTGTTGTACTTTGCCAAGTAATATCAAAGAGACTAGAATATACTTTTTATATGATTCCAACATGATATGACTGACTGCCATAGCAGGAGTAGTTATAGCCTGGAAAAAGAAGAATGTTTAATGTATACAGGGCAAGCCGGAAAATCAACCACATTTTTCACTTTAAGCAAGAAGGGCCAGTGGTATGGTTCAAGTAGTAGCGCATACGCTTACCACCTGTGAGGCCTCGAGTTCAATCCTAGCCCATCTGGCCCTGCTGGTACCCCCTTTGCTCCCTAAACCATGGGGCGTAGCGACTATTAAATACCACCAATAATATTGAGACCAAGTATTAGCTCAAGTAGTACAGGACACAACATGCACGTGCAAGGCCCTGATTCAATCTCTAGAACAACATGGCTGCATCAATACCATCAGGTGAGGTCCTTGAAGGCCCGACAAGCACCACTAAGAGTGAATTTCTGAGGCTTCCCTAACAATTTTAAAGAACTGCATTAATAGAGACATATTTCATACAATGTTTCACTTTGGTATCATTGCCTATCATCATTATCTAATTTCAAAACATTTTCGTCTCCCCAAAAGAAATTCCATACCTATTATAATGCAGTCACTCTCTAATCTCTCCCCCCACAGATAAGCAACCATTATTGTCTATTTTATGAATGTCTATTCTGCACATTTCATACACATGGTATCATAAATATATAGTCTTCTGTGACTTTAGAGCTACATTTGGCAATGCTCTGGGACTACTCCTGGTTCAGTACTTGGCTTGCTGTTTTTATTGCTACTGGTGGTAGAAGAATTTGCGGGGAGGCATATATGATGCCAGGGACCTAACTGAAGTAAGCCACATGCAAAGCAAGCACCTTAAATTCCCGTACTGTCTCTCTAGCCCCAAAGAAAATTTTTGAAAGGATCTCCATTTCAGACTCAGCGGCCCAGGTTTGTCGCTGTAGAAATGGATTCTTTTATCATACAAGTTCAAAACAACCTCAAAAACATTTAGAGAGATGATTACCTGTTCATAAAAGTAGAGTGCTCTTTCGAAGTTCTTCAGCCCAGTATAGATCATTCCTCCATAATAATAGTAACATAAAAAGTGCTTTGCGTCATAGGCGCCATTCTCTTTACAGATATCCATCATGTCCACGTCAAGATAGGGAAGGGCAGGCTTAAAGCATTTTGCCAGCAAACAAAGCTGAAGAAATTTATATTACACCATCATTTAGCAGAAGGAATAAATCTAGAGTTCAGAAAGCTACTGAAAATTGTATTTTTTTTGTCTAACTTTTTCTTAATAAAAATATTTCAAATGCTGACAAGTGATTCTATTTCCGTGAGAAAGGAGAAAAAGGCATTTTCAACAATTAAGACTAAGCAATTATAAGTAAGGCATTCCACACTTAATTCATCAATCAGTTAGCTACTATGTATCTGCTATGCCTACTGCCTACTGCCCATCTCTTTATAGATGGTAAAACAAGTGTGTCCTTTTTCATTTAGCTAAACTAGAAGACTAGGAATAAACCAGCATAAAGTGTGAGCGGGGGAGTGAACTTTTTTGAATATTCCTTTTCAATTCCTTTTGGGTAAGTGCAGGGAGGGAAAGGTGCAACCCCAGAAAGCAAGTACAGGGCAAAGTGCTGTGTTTGATCAGGGTTACACACAGGCACGGTTCACTGTGCATCAAGAGGGGTGCACTTTTACTGTGTGAGAGCTACACTTCAATCAGTTTTTAAAGGAATTTAAAAGAATAAAAGCACTTCATGTGAAACTAGAACATGTGTTTGAAATAACCCATGCAGCACGTTATTCATTAAGGAAGCAATCAAAATTCAGACAGGAATTGTCAAACCCATATTGAATATTTTACAGCTGGAATGCATTGATGGGGCATATTCTCCAAGATAATATGTAGAAAAAAGCAAATATCTAAGAGTTTGCATAGATTATTACTATGATAGCTTAAAACGAGAAAAACATTCACATATTTGCTTGTATGTTTATAAAATATCTTTGAAAAGGTACAGAGGAACTGCTAATACTGGTTTCCTTTGGAGAGAAGATGAGGGGCTAAGAACAGTGGGCTTAGCGGGGAGACTTGATTGTATACACCCTTTCTTTTGCCTTATGGATCTTGGGGAAAAATACCTTGCAAAATAAAATAAGTCACATTTTAAAACCTAAGAAGTTCATCGATTTGCTCAAGCAGGCCCAGTAACAGTCTACACTGTGGGACTTGTTACTGTTTTTGGCATATCGAATACGTCATGGGTAGCTTGCCAGGCTTTTGCCGTGCAGCCAGGATACTCTCAGTAGCTTGCCGGGCTCTCTGAAGAAGTTATTGTTTTTCATTCTCAGCTTCCACAATTCCTTAAAAGGACAAGGAACTAAATTTCTAAAGGTAAAAGGTAAAGGCCCTCCCGTTGATCATCGATTTGCTCGAGCGGGCCCAGTAACGTCTCCATTGGAGACTTTGTTGTTACTGTGTCTGGCATATCGAATACGTCACGAGGAACTTGCCAGGCTCTGCTGTGCGGGCGAGATACTCTCGGTAGCTTGCCGGGCTCTCCGAGAGGGGCGGAGGAATCGAACTCGGGTCGGCCATGTTGGCTGCGTGCAAGGCAAACGCCCTACCCGCTGTGCTATCGCTCCAGCCCAATTCTATCTGTTCGAGAGACACTGCAACTGAGGTCCATTCTGCATATAACAAACTGCTAAAAATTCCCTTACTAATACGTATTTCAAATTCTACACAGATGAAATCTCCATTAAATTGCCCTCACTCACCTAAACTGTGTTAAGCAAAACCATAACTAACCTTTAACCTCTGGCTCATCTAAGTAGCTCTATTTGGCTTCTTACCTGGCAAAGATCAGCATGTATTGAGGTCAGCTGGTTTGTATTCATCTGCATCTTGTCTATGGCTTGCTTAAGGATGCCAATTCCTCGCAGGGGCTGTCAGAAATGACATCTCTTTCAGATAAGTTCTCAAAGATGGCAGCATATTGGATCTTATGTTGTCACTTACAAATGAAAAATAACACTAATTGATAGGTTCCTTTAAATAACACATGAGGTTTCCACACTATCTCAAGAAATTTCTGTCCCTAGTCAGAAAGTTTTCTTAAGCTGTTTCATGTGATACTTAGAGATTTAGAATAACTCAGCACCATTTTACTTTTTTGGGGGTGGTGGGGAGATTCAGGTCTCACCCAGCAGTACCCAGGGGCTATTTCTGGTTCTGTGTTCAGGAGTGACCTAGCAGTGCTTAGGGG